AGCTCAGCAGGTCTGGCAGCATCTGTGAAGAAAAAAATCAGAGTTAATGTTTCAGTCCGGTGGCCCTTCCTAAGAACTGAGGAATATATCCAACATCAGTTCTGAGGAAGGGTCACCAGGCGTGAAACGTTAACTCTGATTTTTTTCTTCACATGCTGCCAGACCTGCTGAGCTTTTCCAGCAACTTCTGTTTTTGCTCCTGATTTACAGCATCCGCAGTTCTTTCGGTTCCCATTTGGTCCATATCCCTCTAAATCCTTCCTATTCATGTACTCATCCAGACGCCTTTTAAATGTTGTAATTGTGCCAGCCTCCACCACTTCCTCTGCCAGCTCGTTCCATACATGCACCACCCTCCGCATGAACAAGTTGCCCCTCAGGTCCCTTTTTTGTATCTTTCCCCTCTTACCTCAAACCTATGCCCTCTACTTTTGGACTCCTCAACCCCGGGAGAAAAGACCTTGCCTATTCACCCTGTCCATGTCCCTCGTAATTTTATAAACATCTATAAGGTCAGCCCTCAGCCTCGGACGCTGCAGGGAAAATAGCCCCAGCCTACTGAAAATGAAACATTGTAAATGTATCTGGGTGAAAGAGAACAGTCCATGGGAGTTTTGTGAGCACAACACCAGCCAGCCAGACTATCATTGCAAAGATCTAAACTCCAATAGTGCTTCAAAGCACAGAAAGAGTCCACTACAAAGAACTGCTGGAGATCTGAAACAGAAATTGCTGAGCAGTGGGAAGAAAGCAGAGTTAACGTTTCCAGTCTAGTGACTGCTCTTCAGGCTTTCGAACATTCATGTTAGTCCACTTCCCATAACCAGCAGGGCTTTTTCTTTAAATATATATTTCTTTTCCCATTATTGTCCCAAGCCCCTTCTGAAAGTTAATACAGAGGACGTAGCGCCCAACATTCTCTTCTTCACAAGACGCGTTTGTATTGAATGAAGCAGCATTTTTACTTTACCTAAGGGGTTTAACGCAGGTGCATATTAAAACCGGCAAGGGGGTGTTTTGAAGGGAGAGAGCGCTTTCCCGGTGACAACTCGTCAAACCAAATTATTGTTCTGGCCAAAATTCACGAGTTTTGCAAATACCTCGGTGTAAATATTTGCACAAGGTGGGATGCAGATACGACAGACTAAATTTTCATTGGAACATATTGTGATCCATCAGCATTCAGTTTGGCTTGCAAGATTTAAAAACTGTAGCCATAGCAGACCAACGAAATAATGTCAGAATTCGTAGGTATATTTTTAGGGCCAATGAAATACTTTCCCAGTTCATAGATATAGAGGACCAAAGAAATAATTTCAGAGTTCGTAGATAAATATAGGTAATAGAACCGGGACAGTCATTAGCGGAGGAATGGGATCCTTCTGCACTTCTGCCAAAAGTATACCACAACCCACTTGTCCCACTTTCCAGCAGTTGGTCCATAGCCTTTAGCTCATCGAGTCTGTATGACCAAAAATATACCACTTCTAACAGTGGTCCCACTTTCTCGCACTAGATCCATAAACTTGAAGTTTATGATATTTCAAGTGGTCATCCAAGTACTGGTTAAAGGCTGTGAGGATCCCCCCCACCTCCAATCAACTATCCTCCCAGGCAGCACATTTCAGACCCCCAACATCCCTCTGGATGAAAAAGGTTTTCCTCAAAGCCCCTTTAAACCGCCTGCCTTACACCTTAAGAGTTCTGCCTGCTTGCTATTGACTCTCCCACCCAGGGGGGACAAACATCTGCCCCTGATCCACCCTGTCCATGCTCCTCATGATCTTATACAGCTCTGCCAGGTAACCACCACCCCCATCCACCTACCACAACCCCCAGCCCTCACTGCTGCAAAAGTAAACAACCCGAGCTGATCCCTTTCTTTTCAAAGGGCTGAACCTGAGACGATGGGCGCAATGGCCTCTTTCTCCTCAAGCGGGGGAGTAGAAGCCCGACGTGCTGGAGCAACTCGTGAGAGAGAGTGAGACAGAGAAAGAGAGAAAAGAGATGCTGCCGAGTTTCTCCGGCAGTGTCTGCCTTCATTTCTGATCCCCTCCGCTTCACAGGAGGGACAGAGGGAGGGAGAGACGGAGGGAGGGAAAGACGGAAGGAGGGATGGAGGGAGAGACGGAAGATGGGAGAGACTGAGGGAGGAAGAGACGGAGGAAGGGAGGGAGAGACAGAGGGAAGGAGGGAGAGACAGAGGGATGGAGGGACACAGAGGGATGGAGGGAGAGACAGAGGGAGGGAGAGACAGAGGGACGGAGGGAGAGACGGAGGGAGAAAAGGAGGGAGAGACAGAGGGAGGAAAGGAGGGAGAGACAGAGGAAGGGAGGGAGAGACAGAGGGAGGGAGGGAGAGACGGAGGAAGCTCGCTCACCTGGATCGTCCTCGTCCCTGGGCACCTTCTTGAAGCAGTCGTTGAGGGAGAGGTTGTGGCGAATGGAGTTCTGCCAGCCAGCCTTGCTTTTCTTGTAGAACGGGAAGTTCTCGGCCACGTACTGGTAGATCTGGCTGAGGGTGAGCTTCTTGTCCGGGGCGTTCTGGATAGCCATGGCGATCAGGGCTGAGTAGGAGTAAGGGGGCCGGACCAGTTTGAGCAGCTCCTCCTGACTGGCGAAGGAAAGCCAGTTCAGCTCCCCAGCTCCGTGCGACCCGCTGCCAGCTCCGAAAGCCGGGCAGGAGGTGCCCGAGGAGGGAGCAGCGGGCACGAACTGCGGAGGCGCCGGGAACGGCCCGGGGCTCTGGGTGTGCAGGTAAGGAGCCGGTGATCCCCCGGCAGCCCCGTTCAGCCACAGGTAAGAGCTGGCAGTGCCGGGGTATTCCGCCAGCGGGTAGCCAGCCTGGTGCTGGTGGGGGTGGTAAATGTTGAAGTTGTCGCAGTAGACTGCCATCTCGGAGACTTGCGGAGCTGCCTTGGCACAAAGCGGCGGGGAGTTACAACGCTGAGAGTCCTGTAAACCAGCAGAGTTCATAATCCCAGCCCCGGCAGCTGGGGTTGGGGGAGGGGGGGAAGGGGAGGGACGGAGAGAGAGAGAGAGGGAGGGGAGAAGTGGAGGTGGAGAGAGGGAGATATAGAGAGACTGTTTCACAAGTTGCTCGAACGACAGGTGCGAAGGGAGATGCCAGAACCGCTTTATTTATAGTCCTTATCTGGATTTCAGCAGTGCCTGGGGCCAGAGGGTGTTGTGTAGGCGACAGAGCTCTCTTTTTCTCTCTCTCCCACCCCCCTCCACCCCCAAAACACACCCCACCTTCTCTAACAGACTGTCGAAAGAGGGGAGGTGTTGAGAAAGAAAGAGAGAAACAATGACGGCTCACCAATCAGGTGCCTGGGAAAGGCATCTCCCTGATTCTCATTGTGACCTGACTACCAAAGTGGAGCAATGTGTTGAAAATCTTTTTAATGACCTCTCAAAAAACAACACCTTCTTATGTCTTTTCAACAACTTCCCGAAGCCGTTCATGGTCATTCATTTCCCCAGCTAGATCTTTTAAAAACATTTTTTTTCCAGTTTTCTTCAAGATCGGTGGTAACTTGGGATATCATTCTTGTCTTGCACTTTTCGTGTGTGTTTCCTTTGCGTAACTCGGCAACTCGCTGACTTCAAACCGGACAGGGGCTTTTATCCAGGGTCCCAGGGATGAGAGACTGCAGTTAGCAGGAAAGATTGGCGCAGAGAGGAGGCAGGCTGAGCGGGGATTGGAGCGAAGTTTTCAAAATCAGGACAAATCTGGACAGATTAGACAAGGTGATCCCACAGGTAAAAAAGATGACATCGAATTCTGAAGCAGAGTCATATAACCGGCGTTAACACTTGTTAAAAAAAACCCCAGAAATTGCTGGAAAAAAAACTCAGCAGACCTGGCAGCATTTGTGAAGAGAAAAAGCAGAGTAAAAGTTTCGGGTTCAGTGACCCTTCTTCAGTTCTGTTCAGATCTTTTAAACTTTCCGGCAATTTCTTTTCTGATTCCCAGCATCTGCAGTTCTTTGATTTTTAGTATTTAACTCTGTTTTTGTCTCCACAGATGCTGCTAGATCTCACGAGTTTCTCCAGCACTTTCTATGGTTCGGATTTCCAGCATCAGCAGTATTTTGCATATAAACGAGAACTGAACAGTTTCAGGTTTCTGTAAATGGATGTGTGGTGGGGGGTGGGGGGCAGTTTTCATTGAGGTATTCAAGATAGCATTGGGCAATTGGATAGGGCAAAGTTCTGTGCGAAAGGCGGCACAAAAATGTTCAGGGAGCCATGAACAGAAACGACGGGCCGAATGGCCTTCTTCCGCAATTCTGGGATTTTTGTAGATCTCGTTTAAGAGCGGGTTCACAATGCAGCCGTGGGGAGGAACTGTCAGTCACCTTTCCTTGCAAACATCACGTCCTTAGCCAGTAAACGAGGAAACGCCGGGGAATGCAGAAGTTGCTGCCAATTGGCCGGAAAGAGCACTCGATGTGTCCCCAAACAGAGGAGGGAATCACCCGGATCACATTACTCTCAGGGAATTCTTGATGCAAGTCCCGTGGGCGAATTCCGCCTCTCCCGATAGTGAAGCCGGTGTTTAACAGGCCAGCGGGCCAATTCGACTTAAAGCGGCAGAAACGGCAAATTGCCCAATATTATCAACACCAACAGATAGACGGATTGGGTGGGGCGGAGGCTGAGGGGTTAATGGTGGGGCGGGGAGGCGTTGGTGAGCAGAGTTCTATCAGGGAGGTACTGTTTAAACAGGCCGGGACCATCCCAGGCTAACCATCCATTCGAACTCTCAATAGAAAGTGTAGAATTTCCCAGTACCGGCTCATCTTTGCCCGTCCCCACTCTTGAAAAAGCTACCCAGCCAGAACCGCTTTCCGGCTCCATCTCCCGAGCCTTCAGCAGGTCCGAAACGTTATTTCTGACTTTTAAAAAAAACCCCGAAAGTATTGCGGATGCTGTAAATCAGAAACAAAAATTGAAGTTGCTGGAAAAGCTCAGCAGGTCTGGCAGCATCTGTGAAAAAATCAGAGTTAATGTTTCCGGTCCGGTGACCCTTCTGTGTGTGTGTGTGTGTGTATGTTATTTCTGACTTTCCCTCCACAGATGCTGCCAGACCCGTTGAGTTTCTCCAGGAATTTCTGGTTTTTTTTGTTCTTTTGTTTTATTATAATTCTATTCCTATTCTCTTAATAGCCGAATCGATTTTTTTTTAAGATTTAGATTTTAGATTTGGGTTTTATTGTCATCTGTACTCAAGTAGAGGGCACAAGAGTACAGTGTAAAGTGCACAATGTTGCCACACGGCGCTATCTTAGATACAAAATACCTAGGTACAAAATCTTAGTTACAGAAATAGAGAAATAAAGCAGTAAGTTAAAAAGTTCAGTACTACCGTCTCCTTAGATTTTATTTGGAAAGCAGGCAATTGTTTTTGGCACAGAGGGAATGTTTACCATGAAGGATTCTCTCAATCGCTCCCCTCTCCCAAGGTGTGGTGGCCCTCAGGTTAAACCACCACCAGTCATCTCTCTCCAACAAAAGACCAGTATGATAAAGGTGTAAAAGTTTATGAGGGTTGAGGACAGAGGGGATAGAAAGTAGTTGTCCCCTTTTCTGGAAGGCTCAATCACAAGGGGCATAATTGTAAGGTGAAAGGCGGAGATTTAGAGGGGGATTTGAGGGGGGGAAAGTCTTTTCATCCAGAGAGTGGTGAGGGTCTGGAATGCCCTGCCTGGGGAGTTAGTTGAGGTGGAAAACCTCACAACCTTTAAAAAGTAGATGGATAAGCTCTTGAAGTGTCATAACATTATAGTCTACACGTTCGAGTGCGGCAAAGTGGGACTAGTGTAGGGTAGTCTAGTTCTTCGTATTGATATAGATACAGGCTGAAGGACTTCTGTACTGGATATTGTCTGATTCCTTGATTCTAGCAGCCTAATGGCCCGGAAGGACTCGGTGGAGTATACCAGGACTACTGGTTTTGCAATACTGTGGCTGAGATTATTTGGAAAGGCAGACCAAAAGATGACGTTAGCACGGTGAAAATTTTAAGTTGCAGCAATATGCACATATTCCACCGCCTGACACCCTGTAATATGGAAGCGTTCACTTCAAACGTGAAATATCTTCAACCAGAGACGTTTAGTTATCGATGTTTAGTTTCCAATTTAGTTACCAATACCAATTCAGATTCAGTGGCGCCGAGAGCCCAACTGAAATAAATGAAAGTCGCCTTTTGTAAAAAGAAGTGTTGGTGAAAAATACTTTTGTTTGTACATATTTTAAAAATGCACTAAATCACGGTCATGGATTTGGTTTTCAGTGTTAATTTGCAAAGGCTTTTCTTTATCACAGTCACACCGTTTAACAAAGTTAACGCAAATAGTCCTGACCAAATCACAGTTTCTCATTATCTTTTTAGTTGAAAGAACTATATAAAGATTTGGCAGAGATAGCAGGAACTGCAGATTCTGGAGAATCAGATAACAAGGTGTAGAGCTGGATGAACACAGCAGGCCAAGCAGCATCAGAGGAGCAGGAAGCCTGCTGTGTTCATCCAGCTCTACACCTTGTTACCTCTATTTAAAGATTTGGCACGTTTGTTGTCACATACCCAGATCAAAGCAAAGAGTTCATTCGTTTCTAAGAATATATCGATGTACAGTTATCATTAATTGGTAGACAGTTAATCGGTACTCTGTCCCATTTGTTTTTACTGAGGCGGACGGAGTTTTTCTGTATTTGACTACTACGGAGCGCCCTGAAAAATAAAGTGGCCTGTGTACCGTGAGTTTAGCGAGTCGGATCATTAAGTAAAGTTTCCAGACAAACGGTTTTCTCTTCAACGGCGAAATTCGAGATTTTTAAAAAAAAATCCGTTCATAAGATGTGGGATTCACGAACCGGGCTAGCTAGACTTTATTGGCCAACCCTAGATGGAGCAGGTTCTGTAACTGCTGCGGTCCCTTTGGTTTATAAAATAAATTCATCTCCCGGAGCTAGGTAACTTCACAGACAAGAATAAAGCACACAAAAACAGCTATCTTGACTCTGCAAAAAGGCACGTTTTCTTTCTGCAAACAAGTTGTTACAATTCGTTACACGTTCAACAGTATTTTGCACGGGGACTGCTTTGAAAATGAATGATTCGCACACGTTCATGGCCTGTAAACATCTTGTGTTTGTGCGCCTTAAGTCCGTATAGGACTAGAAACAGGCTTTTGGGCCCTTCGAAGCTGCTCCGCCACTGAGCTCAGCCAGCGAGTCAGTGAACAAAGTATCAACGCCCTCCTGGATCTGAACTGACTAACATCCCCTAAAACAAGGCAGTGTGAGATGCGACCTCTCCTAACCCATCACCCTCGCAGCAAAAAGACACAGAAATACAGAGTTGCAGAGAATAAAATGGCTATTTATCAGTGAGATGAACTCTGCTATATTACACCAGAACGGACATAAGCAAATACTATCCATTGCACAATCCAGGGATCATTGATGTTGCAGGAACGAAACGAACCTAGGATTGAGAAACGTTCCTTGTCAATATTAGACCATGTCCCGTGAACAACGCAACTTAAATAAATACTTTCACCCTGTCCCATTCGATGTGTATATACGTTCATCGGTGATATTTCACTTTGAAAACAGCCAAGACTGCGTGGGTTTCCTCCCACAGCCCAAAGATGTGCAGGTTAGGTAGATTGGCCATGCTAAATTGCCCATAGTGTCCAGCGATGTGTAGGTTAGCCATGGAAATGCAGTGTTACAGGGATGGGTCTGGGTGGGATGCTGCAGGGATTCATGTAAAGGCTTTCTTTATCACAGTCACACCGTTGAACTAGGTTAACAACCTTCTATAATAAAAACAGATGCTATATGACCCATAGAAGCCCTACATTCAGCCCATCGAAGAGCATCCTACCCTATCCCTATCACCCTGCATTTCCCGTGGCTGACCGACCTAGGATGGCCAATCCACCTTAGCTGCGCATTTT